AAAATAAAATAAAAATATGTATTTGTAGAAAAGACAGAGGGAAGCGACATCTTTTCGTTGAGAAAGTGAATGATATTCAGACGCTTCTTTGGATATATTAAAAAAATATCGAGATACCCAGTGGGAGAACCAAGACAGATATGGCAGAATGCAACGGCAAATGGTAGATTTGTAAATGTGTAAGATTGACACTGATGAGAAACATCTATCATGGCACGGGGACCCGACCTATATCGCAGTTGTAATATAAAACGTGTTCCTTTGTTTTTTGGGGATATCTGCATTAATCTGTTTTATAGAAAGTTACTATTTCTTTTCACAATATATTTTTCCTTATTCTTCGCAGATTAAGACTAGAATGAATATTAATTACCACCACACATACATACATACATACATATATATACAAACACACACACACACACACACACACACACATACACACACACACACACACAAAGAAACAGAAACACACCCACAATAAACTGGGTTTATGAGTGCTGGGAATTTCAGATCATCCTTTCCAATCGATGTTAGTTACGTTGATGTTTATTGTCTTCATATTCATTCATTTTTCTTTAACATTTTTTTTATCTTTAAACATCACACACTTCATATATCTAAATGTAGTTATTTTTGGTATTCTTATGGTAGATTCATCTTCTTTCTGTACGGAATATGTGGCACAAATTCAACCCGAGAAATTTGTTTCTTAGAATGTACAATATTTAGAAATTGGAAAATTGTGTTAGAATACAAAATAAAGAGTTAACTGTTATATAATCCTCTTATGTTGCAGTTAATATTGGAATAGTTCCTCTGAAATGATTGGAAGCAAAAGGAATGTGGTTCTGCATATGACAAAAGTGCTTATTTATGTAGCAGATACGTCTTTAGGAGGCACGGTGGAGTAATGGATAGCGGCTTGCGATGAAAAATCGGAGATCAGAGTTCGAATTCCATTCAGATCCATTGCGTACACTTATGTGCTAATACCCTCGGGAAGGGTATGCATCATCTTCTTCTCCCCCGGGATCTGAATGGCAACTACCGCAGAAAGAAATGGCAACCTATTGCAGGAAAAAATATGCTTCGCCACTCATGTATTGAAAGATACATGATCTCTTCTGCGTGAATCACGCATGGCACATAAATGACTATGTCTTTATATCAAGAGAACGAAAGAACAGTCTTTAAAAGAAAATTCTGTGGTAAATATATATTTAACTGAATTTTCTCTTATGAAAATGATTTTCATCGATTCATTAATTTTTATTTTTTATTTTTATAATCTCATTATATTCATATTTACAACCCATTCATAAAAGAGATTTTTGGCACAAAGTCAGTTTCAACATATTCAAATATTAATTCTTCACGTCTTCACCTGGGTTTTCGTGTCTTTTTCTCCGATACACACATTAATAGATCGTTCAAATCCGTGGTTAACTGTTATCTTTTTCACTTATCCCCGTAAACTGCGCTACTTACCTCAATATTTCCAGGCATTGTCATAATTTTTCGTACCAATGCTGTTGTAAAATCTTATCGTTTTTTACTAGTATCGATGGAAACTTCCTTTCTAACCTTTTGTTTAATGTATTGTATCAGACCAACATCTTGATTACATACTGGTTTAACTTTATTTTTCCACCTATTTATAAATACTATTTTACCTGTTGTTTCTGTTGGAAGTCTTCAAGTTGAGTGGCTATGGCTATTTTGGGCTGTAATCTGTTTCTGTCTATGTGCCGCTAGTCTGCGAGATCCGACGGTCACAAGTCATCTGAAAGGCTCACTGGGTTCACTTGCGTTAGGCTATATTTAGTGATTGATCTGAGAAAACGGTTGTTTATAGCTGATATTTCTGCATGCTTAGTACAATAAATGTGTGTCTTCTGGCGTTTACAGGTAAAGTCAATGAACGCGACAGAATATGAATCATCTGTCAAATTATTTCGTACTTTACGAAACGCTATAAGCTCAATATAAAGAAATAAACTGATTCCATAGTCTTCATCGTTAGGCAAATAAAAATGCAAATAGATATTTGTACGTTAGATATTTGTATATGACGCACTCCTATAGAATGCACTGCTTAATATTAGACTGGTTATTCTGGTTAAATATAGCTCTTGTATAACATACAGTACATATTTAAATTTCGTACTGGCGAAATTCCGAGTAAATATAACGTTTTTATGTGTTTCGTATTGATTAAGAATACAAATTTGTTTACATCTCATTGTTGTAAAATAGAAATTCGACACATTTAGAGGAAACGTTGTTTTAAAGCAGAAAGACGTGCACTAGTAGTTTTGCTAGGCTCACTGAGTTCATTTGCTTAAAGCTATATTGATTGATCTAAGAAAACAAGTTTCTAAAGCTGATATTTTACACATTTCTGAACGAGTTGGACACCATGCATGGCATCCATTTAAAAGTATAGATCTGACGTGGTTATTTATTTTTAACCGGATTTACCCCAAGCAAATCCGTAAACCTACTAAAACAAAAGGGGTTACTGAGTCTGAAATTATTAAAAAAAAACAGAAATATTATAAGAAGTGTGAACAAGAAGAGAGTTATCAGTAAGACAGTAGATAACGAATCACATTGGATTTAAATATCTAATATCTGAGCGGAAGAGAGTTCCACAATCGAAAAGTGAGAGAAAATTGTTAGCTTTTGTGCTAAATGATTATATATATATATATATATATATATATATATATATATATATATATATATATATATATATCCAGTTCAACTGTGGAAAATTGATGAGACCTTGTTGTCAATCTGGTACTGAACTTAGATTCATAGTCTATGTGACATGACGAAGATTTCATCCGAACAATTTTGATCAAAGTATTTATAGAAAGGCACAGGGAAGCAACTTAATTGCGTTAGGAAAATAACTGAAGCCGATATGCCATGTCAGGATCAATAATATTCCTGATTTTTCTTTGGATTTTCTCAAGAATCATTAAATATGTAGCTGAAGCAGAGGGCCATATGTGGCAGGAATATTCGGGTCATGGAGGAATGGTAGACTTTTTTATACATAGTTTAGATTCAGGAAAGAAAAAATGGCTGACACAACACTAACGGTTTCAATATATTATTTCCACTTCATGTCAGCCAAGAATGTTGGACCTAAAATGCGCAGGGAGTTACTCTTCTAGAGGTTAGCATCAAACATGATAACTCCACCAATTGATTACTTGGGTTACTATTTTTGTTTTTAATTTCCTGCGGTGTTGGACAAAACTCTATCTATCCCAACTGTCGGAGTTAGCTCCTCCTTAGCTTCTTAACCCTTTCATCAGGGGTCTCTCTTCCCTGGCTATAAATACTCGCTGACCCTAGGCCTTTTCCTCTTTTTCCCTCAGGCGTTTGGGCCGCCACTTTGAGGTAAATCTTTTTTACTCAGGTTTCGGACTTATACTAACTGGCAGATGTGAATGCTCACAGATACAGCGTTTCCCAAATGCTGGGAACACGCTAAGAACAATACTCGTACATACAAACACTCACCACAAAAAAAACACACGCATATAATATTCACCACACACACACACACACTGTCCGTGTAACTGTCCATGTAACTTGTAACCTTTCTTGTTATTAATACATATATTTGTTTACATATATTTGTCGGTCTTGTGTCTGTTTTTCTTTGCCTTCTTTGGACTTAATTAAAGTCCAACTTTCTCATGTATTTGGACCGGCTGGCAGGAAAATCTTAACTCACATGGGTTCTTCTATTTCTACTCAACATCGCCAACACGGTCGTCTACACAACTTATTCTATATTCAAATTTGTTATCTCCTACTTGGAATATATCTTACCTGTACGCTGATTGTTTTATATTTTATTAATAATATTGATGTGGAATTCAGGGTATGTGTCATCACTTTAATTCCGATTGCAGGTCGTACTTTCTGTTTAGGAAAGTCTTTCTTACGGTATACTTATTGGAACACGACATAAAGAATTTTTTTTTTACCCTATGTGCCCCCAACACCGCTTTACCGGTGTTAGAGAAAAATAACGCAATGTACAGCCACCGGTTAAACAAACGTTGAAAAAAATGGCGTAATGTCCTAGCCACCGGTTGAAAAGTGGGAGAGAAAAATGACTTAATGCCATGCCACCGGTTGAACGGTGGGTAAACACTTGTAACTATTTTATATCTACCGGGGAAATATTATATACCAATTATTTGCGAATTTTAATTCATGAGCTCAGGCAGAAGGGTTAAAATTGTTCAGGAACGCAGGGCTCAATAGAGTAAATGTAATCATAAAATGATCAAGCGTCACATCTTCTTTAAAGAAAGAGATATGAACAAACTGACAGATATAGATAGACAGACAGACAGACAGACAGACAGATAGATAGATAGATAGATAGATAGATAGATAGATATGAATGCGATTAGATAGATAAATAGATAGATAGATAGATAGATATAATTATTAAAATATGAATGAGATAGAATATGAATGAGTTGAAACAAATAGATAGATAGATACATATATACATACATAAATAGATATGAATGCGAATAGATAGATAGATAGATAGATAGATAGATAGATAGATAGATAGATAGAATTATTAAGATATGAATGAGTTGAAATAGATAGATAGATAGATAGATAGATAGATAGATAGATACATACATACATACATACATACATACATAGATATAAATGCGATTAGATAGTTAGGTAGATATAATTATTAAGATATGAATGAGATCGAATATGAATGAGTTGAAATAAATAGATAGATACATATATACTTACATAAATATATATGAATGCGATGAGATAGATAGATAGATAGATAGATTGATAGATAGATAGATAGATAGATAGATAAAATTATTAAGATATGAATGAGATAGAATATGAATGAGTTGAAATCGATAGATAGATAGATAAATAGATAGATACATGTATACATACATAGATAGATATAAATGCGATTAGATAGATAGATAGATAGATAGATAGATAGATATGAATGTGATTAGATAGATAGATAGATAGATAGATAGATAGATAGATAGATAGATAGAATTATTAAGATATGAATGAGATAGAATATGAATGAGTTGAAATAAATAGATAGATAGATAGATAGATACATACATACATAGATAGATATAAATGCGATTAGATAGATAGATAGATAGATAGATAGATAGATAGATATGAATGTGATTAGATAGATAGATATAGATAGAATAGATAGATAGATAGATAGATGAATAGATAGATAGAATTATTAAGATATGAATGAGATAGAATATGAATGAGTTGAAATAAATAGATAGATAGATAGATAGATACATACATACATAGATAGATATAAATGCGATTAGATAGATAGATAGATAGATAGATAGATAGATAGATATTATTAAGATATGAATGAGATAGGATATGAATGTGTTGAGATAGATAGATAGATAGATAGATAGATGTATACATACATAGATATAAATGCGATTAGATAGATAGATAGATAGATAGATAGATAGATAGAAACAGAATGAGATGCCGGTGTCACGAATCAGAGATAACATCGTTTAATACTTTGAGCCCTGGTCACCGCTTTACTGGTGTTAGAGAAAAATAATGTAATACCCTGCCAGTAGTTGAACTTTTGCAATATTTTTATAATAATATGCAAAGGAACTGTACAATATATTTGATTAAATTTCAGTTTTGAGGAACACTGTTTCATTCTCAGTTTGAGAACAGCATGGACATGGTTTTGGATTTCTTATATGTAAGCGTATACTTTAGATTGACGTTATATACATAAACCTTTAGATTTTTATTCAGAGAACAGCAACTGGTAAACGCGGGAGTTTTGGGATTTCTGTTGTCTCCCTTATCAACTGTATCACGCAAGACGTAACGAGATAGCTTATTGCCGACATGAACATTTGGAAGAATACATCCATGAATTTCTGAAAGGCTTGTCATCAGCGCAAACATAGCGGAGCCAGAGGATATATATGCCGTGTGGTCGGTGCAGAGAAGGAAGAACAAGAGACGGCGATGAGGTTCAAGGAAAGGTGTACTCATAAATCTGGCGTACTTAGCATACGCAAACTGGCGACGTATCGCCGGTTTTCGTAGTAAAGGTGAAGATATGGTTTCGTCATATTCCGGAGGTGATAACCTATCAGCAACCCGAACGAGAGGAGGTATCTGGTGATGTGAGTCTCCAGGGAAGATGCACTATCTTGACATTCTTAAGGTCATGGGATATCAGATGACCAAATGAGACGTGATTACAGGCGAAAATACAAACCGCAGGGATAAATAATTTCATGCCTTTCTGCAATGGTATCTTAACGAATTGAACATGATAATGCAGATTTTACTTACATGATGGTTAACCTTCATTATTCATTTGCTATTACGTCCAGCCATTGATATATAATTTATGTGCTTTGTGTGATAGGCAGATTTTTCCCGCAGTAGGTTGCCATTTCTTTCTGCAGTAGACCAGTTGCCATCCAAGGCTATTGAACCCTGTCGATCCTGCTATTTACCCATAGCTGGAAGGAGAAGAAGAGAATTCATACCATTCCCAAGGGTATTAGCACGTAAGAAGATGTAATGTATTCGACTAGATTTCGAACTCGCCTCTCCGATTCCTCAATTTAAGCCGCTATCCATTACTCCACTGTGCCACAGGATTTATTTTTGCAGCACAATCTTTATTTAAAACTTCCTCATTCCTCACATGTTCTGTACATGAGATTCTTAGCATAATTCCATAAACCATTTCTCTGCAGTCTCAAGTCTGCTCTTCACTTGTCATGAGATTTGTGGCGAACGGGACAATGGCCCTCCTCACAAATGTTTTAGTGACCTCTTCATGGTTTGCCGACGAAAAGCAAAAATGAAATAAAACTGAGATGGTTGCCATCTTAATTATACAGTAGTTATGATATTTTTTCCTCTATTCTTATATATGAACTACATCCGGCAGAAAGGCCACCAAGCAGGATGCTTTCAGGAGCGTGGGACCACCTCTTATTTCCTGTTATTACCAGATCCAACTCTGGGTGTTAGCACCCGTTAGGATCATAAATATCGGTAAATAGTTAACCCCAGACTGGGGTTAAAACACTGATAGTATAAAAACAGATTTTTTTTTTTTTTTTTGGTAAAAATATCAGTAATACATTTTCTTAATAAAACCATTAACAGCAACACATTTTTGAAAAATAAAATTACCAGCAATGCACTATTTTTAAAGAAATTAGTAAGGTTCCAAAGAATATTAAATTTCAGCATTAAATGACCCATGAGGAATTGAAGAGCTGATATACAAACATTTGAAAAGAATAATGACCTGCAATACATTTTATCTATAGTTGTAGTTGCTTTCAAAATATATTTAGTTTTATTATTCCTTGCGAATCCTTGTCGCCATTTCTGTGATGATGGACGGTTTCGCTTGTCACTTTTGCTATGTCAAGCGAAATCTCGTTATCTGTTCTAAAAATTCTCGTTATATTCGAGTCTTTGTAGGGGTCAGTACTAGGAGTAACGCCTTCCATTAATATCCGCACTAATAATAGTATAATGATCAGAAGAGAATCGTAACCCGTATATTAGTCGAGTAGAGAGAGTGGACGTATAGCAATAGTGGATAGGCAAGAAGAGTGAACAAAGGTCCGTATCGTTGATAGTTATAGTTGAAATTGAAGCTATAAAATTGTGTTCATATTAAGATACCAGCATTAAATGGCCCATAGGTTTGTTGATATTCCGCAAAACAAAACAGCCACGGAAAACAACTCCAACTGAAGTGACCAATAGTAAAACGTACAACCTCAATAAAAAAACCGTATTGTTTTTTTATCGTTCATAATATTAGAATCGGTAAGTTTGATTTTTACCGTTATTTTTAAAATTTTGCCTCTTTGAATTTTTACGACGGTCTTGTGTGTGTGTTCTTTTCGACTATAATTTTTCTTGTCTTTTCGATTTGTGAGCTGGATTTTTGATACAGACCTTTACACTCCGCTTGTTGTTTCTGACATTCGTTGGCAGATACATAATTATAAGTGGTTAAAACCTTCGAATTCTGACCAGAGTCCCGGGTTCGAATCTCACCATGGTCGATTTATCAGGAGGGAGACTTATTGAAGTCATCGCTAGAAGGATTAATTCCAGCGTGAGGCACCTTTGGAAAAGTGCCTGAAAACCATACCACAGGTTGACCTAGGCCTTGTGAGTTAAATTGAGTAGACAGAACCCTTGGGTTCGTCGTTAGCTGTGCTGGCACGAATTCATAAGTCATCATGGCCGAGGGCTTGAGTGTGCTGGCCTTGTCCTAATTGTTGATCTTGCTAGATAAAATGCTCTTTCCTAGGAACTGTAACTAAGGTATACAGTATAAACCAGAGGTGGGCTCTGTCGGTCTTGAATGAACACAAATACGCCTGAGCAAGCTTCTGCAATAGGGATTAGTTAGCTGCCCTTGTAGACGGGTATCAACGAATACGAGTGGCCATCTATGCATATATATATATATATATATATATATATATATATATATATATATATATATATAATTAAAAAAGGTTGATGTTAAATAGCAAGCACTTTTTGAGTTTTTTGAAACCAAAGTATTCTTGTTCTTAATTATAAATCTTTTTTTTTTGTTTTTTCGAACCAATCTCTCCGATTTTTCGTTATAGCTTTTACTGGACTAATTTTTAAATCTCAAGTACGTAGCCTCCATCTAGAGCAGTCTCTTTTGCTAAGGACCGTATATTTTGCCGTGTGAAGCTTTAATTGAACTTATTCGATTTATTCGAATAACTATTTCATACATAATACTCTTATGTATATCATTATAGATACAATGTTTCGAGTAAGTGCCATATGACAAACTTCAGGTGTTCAAATGCCCAATATTGTGGATAATAGAGAATATATCATTTTGGATTATTACTGTATAATTTTGCCCTAGTCAAACTGCTTAATATTAATTCTTTCCGAAGCAGATTATGCGTAGTTCACTAATTGAACCAGGGATTGAACTCACTAGTTGATAGGCACATTCGCTTGCCCAATTAATATATTCACTACACCACAGATCCGACGTTTAGTTTGCGAAGCATTTATACCTAATGTCAGACCCTTTGTGGTAATTGGGATTCACGACGTTTTTTTAATGTTTGCCTCACATTCTCCACTGGCTCGAACTAGAATGACTGCATCGAATCTATTGCTTTGTCTACTGCAAGAAAGGGTCAGTGTCACCATCTTACACATTTTAAGTCTACCATTCCTCTGTACAATATTTTCGTTATATTTGGTCTGGTTTGCATGCAGTATATATCAAGATTCATGACAAAATCCGAAGAAGGTTTGTTTGTTTCTTTGTTTAAAACTTAACGACCCATCGATCAGCAAAAGATCATTTAAGGTCAAACAGTTGTTTTTTTTTTCTTTTTCTTTAAATTAGGTTGAAATGCTTTCAAAAAGACTTTCCCTTTCCTTCTTTTTCGATGTTGTCTTGCTTTTTATATTTTTTTTAATCACTGTTTTCGGAGGTGCGTTGTTCTTTGAAAATTTCTCACCTGACAAGTATCAAAGTCCCCCCTTCCATCATCAGACACCAAATTGGAATTATATTTTATTATATAGTCCAACTTTCCTAAGAAAGGTCAAGATCAAATTGGGGGTTTGATTTTTCGAAAATTTCTTTCTAGTTGTTTACGTTGGAAAATAATTTTCGAATATGTGCCATGTTACTGCAATCAAGCAGGAAGAAGGATCTGTAATGTAATTGATGCTGACCAGTCATCTGGACGTCAGTCACATTCATACCGACGGGACGTGGCTTCCATCTGTCTTTTCTAAAAATATTATCATGGCACCTACTCTGACCAACATTTGGTCCATGGTGCCCCCAAAACATGATTTTAAGGGTTCTACCTAGATTGGCAGGTAGTTCCCATATTTTACTGTTGAAAAAGCTAATTACAACAGCTAATTCTACTGCAACATTTTCTAGTCTCATACATCCCACCAGTGTAACTCCATTCCGATTTCAGGCTTTCCTGATATCTAAACACTTTATAATTTAAATCCAACGTCAATCGCCATTTTTTGAACCGCGATCAATTTGGTCCCTCCCTCGATCATTTCCTATTCTCAGACTTCTTATTATCTCTCACTTCTTGTGACACCTGCCTACTAGAGTCATTGAAGCATTGCTTTGGGTAGAATTATTTTAAAAATCGCTGTCTTTTCTAAATTTAGTTTTGGATTTTGACATGGAGAATAAACAATATACACACTTGTGGATATTAATTGAAAAAGAGTAATAATTCCGTTATTATTTTCGTTTATTTTTTTCGTATTTTTCCAATGAACCTTAACCCAGTGCACATGTTAGTACTTTGTATGTCCATTGTACGAAGTCGTTCCTTTCAGATTGACCATAGGTTCTCGATTGAATTTAAATCAGGAGAGTTTTCGTGACAGTCTATAGTACTTTGATTTTCTCACTGGTAATGCGTGTTCGTTCATTGTTACAATTTTC